ACCGCAACCCAAGAGACTCACTGACAACGTCGCAACCAAGGAAGATGGCTCTTCGGTCGGCGATGCTCTGGAACCCCTCATGGAAGTTAATTCGAAATATACAACTCAGCATGGGTGGGAGTAGAGGGAACACGAGGGAGTAGAGGGAACACGAAAGAATGGAGGGTAGGGTAGGGTCTCCCCACCTAAAGGGTAGGGTCTCCCCACCTAAAGGGTAGGGTCTCCCCACCTAAAGGGTGGGGTGTCCCCATCTAAAGGGTGCGTGTACTTTCGGTAAGAGGTTAGTTCAGCAAGATTGGGTCTATGACAAAAACGTTCATTTTAAGCGGGCGCGGGACGGCCGATGGCGGGCGTTGCGCTCACAAATAAACTAGTACGACCACGACTTAGCTGAGGGGGCCGTCAAAGTAGCCGGCGTCTGCCTTGAAGGTTTGGATAAATTGATCGGTTATAAGTGTTGCTTGTTCCTTGGATTCTGCTTGCATACATTCTGGAGTGAGGACAATGCGTAGCTTAGTTTCGTCAACACGTTGGAGAGCGGTGAGTCGTGGACAGCGTTGTTCTAGACTGACGAACACCTGGGCATAGGAGCCGATGCAGCAGCAGGAGCCGACGTGTTTGAGGCGTTGTCTCAGTTGTCGGACAAGACTGTTGGCGACATTCGAGGTAAGGCGATGGGTCTGTAGAAGATCACGTAGTTGAACGAGACATCCGTGCTTCAGTTGTAGTTGAAGTTCGTGAGTCACACACGCCTCGCCCACACACTCAATTTTCCAGGGCTTCCAAACATGGGAGAAGGGTATTATTACTGTTCCCAAACCAAGTGATTCAGCATCCGCCCGGACTTGTTCAGACGCGGCGTATGCCACTTGAAACCATGTACGTCCCTTCTCCTTTCCATCGCTATCCCGCACACTCCATTCAGGTGCCGCTGCGGCCGTAATAGTCCTCAACCATGCCGGTGTCCGTAGGTCTACCTTCGTTCGCGGCTGACAATCCGCGCATAATTCTCCACGTACCCCCAACTCGTGACCAAGTGCTCCTGAAATTGCCATCTGTAAACCGCGTGCTTGAAAATCCGGGATTCCAACACCCCCCATTTCCAGCCCACCCCCTTGCGGGACCACCGCCACCTGGTGCAGACTATTCAGCCCCAAAGGCGGACGACAAACACCACGCCAGTGCATAGCCTTGTACTCCTCCGTAGGGTCAAGCAACTTGTATGCGAGCATGAACTTTGTCTTGATCCTCTCCAAAGCTTGCGTCTCCGCGTCCGCCGGCTCAGAGAAACTTCGAACTGACAATTTTGGATTTGGACCCGAGCGTCTTGCACTCGACCCTCTTGGAGCTGAAGACTTTGGGCCCGAGCGTCTTGGAGCTGAAGGCGTTTGAGCTGAAGGCGTTGGAGCTGAAGGCGTTGGAGCTGAAGGCGTTGGCTCCTCACCCAGACCTAGCAGGTCCGTGGTAAAGACCGTGTTGCCGGCATAGTGCTTCCAAAGATTCGTTATCGCAATGGGGTATGCGGGGTCATCCTCGTACGGAGAGGACACAAAAGTGGCCAGTTTGGATAACACCTGCTCCATCAGGCAGACCCGGTTGCCTACAGCGGTCGAGGTCGTATATCGAACGTCTTCCGGGTCAATTTCCACCAGGACCTTAGTGCTATTTCTACGGAATTGGATCTGGTCTGTTGAACGCAGAATGAGTTGGGGATCCTCACTCAGCTTATCAATGCATTGCAGTCCAATCGTCACAAACGCAAACGGAGTCAAACGATGCTCCAAACCAAACTTCAATCGCACACATCCTTCACGAGCCATTGGCAAACCCAGCTCCTTATCCTCGGTCTGGGAACGCGCTGCGGAGAATTTCGAAGCAAACACTCCTTGGGAATCCAATCCTAAACATGCATCTCCGCAACCCAAAAGGCTTGCTGACAATGCCACACCCAACGAAGACACCTCTTCAACCTGGGAAGCCCCACAACCCCTCATGACACTGATACTAATAAAATTTAGAAGCCACGGGTCTTCGACAGTACGTTGAGGGAGTACCTACCTACAGAACAATTACCCGTCTACATACCTTGACAACAAGTTTTGACAATAATTCGGGCGTAATGCTTCTACAAGTTTTGACCACTACAAGCTTTGACAAAGTTAATCCCGTGCTCAAACCCGAAGCACACACAGTCTTAAAACAACTTTTCACACACACACACTAAGACGATCCGCAGCTTCGTCTCAGACCTGGGGTAGACGACGGGGTCCTTGCGCCGGTGCCGACGGTAGCCGCGACGGGGGAGATGCGTCATCGGCTACCGCAGGCTCAACGCGGCCATGGTGGCAGACTCCTACCCCCTTCCACGCATCTGGGACCACCTACGACGGGCGACGCTAGACATGAACTCAGGGTTCTGGAACGTGCCGGTGGAGGAGGGGTGCAAGGCGCTCGCCGCCTTTATAACTCCGACTGGCCTTTTCGAGTTCAATATCATCCCACTCGGCATCAAAAACTCGCCCGCTGAGTTCCAGCGCGCAATGGATTCCTGCTTCGCACCGCTGCTGGGGGAGAATGCGTTCTGCTACATTGACGACATCGTCATTTGTGGACAGGACTTTGATAGCGTACTGCGGCGGGTTGAGCTCTTCCTAGAACAGTGCAGGAAGACCGGGTTCTACTTGCGCCTGGACAAGAGCGAATGGTTCAAGGATGAAGTGAAATACCTCGGGCACGTCGTCGGCCGGACGGGCATAAAGGTCCAGGAGAAGAAATCTCGAGCAATCGTCAACGCACCGGCCTCCACCAACAAGAAGGAGCTACAAAGCTTCTTGGGGATGTGCGGCTATCTGAGACCCTTCACCCCCCCGAGTTCTCACACATCACGGCGTCGATATTCGACCTGCTAAAGAAGAACAGGACCTACGAGTGGCGGGACGTGCGCGAGAACGGCTACCCGCCGTCCAGGGCACCGTCACGCTGCATGTTTTTAGTTAGAATGGCGAATACATCATAAAGACCGACGCGTCCGAGTTAGGGGTCGGGGCTGTACTCAAACAGGTGAAAGGTGACGCTGAAGTACCCGTCGAGTTCGCTAGCAAGAAGTTCAACCCCACGCAGTCGCGCTGGCACACGAGAGAACGGGAATTGTTCGCGGGCAAGTAAGCCATCGAGAAGAGGCGAGACTACGTCGCACTTCACGGCCAGGAGACCACAACAACCTACGGTACCTCACCGGCGTGGACAAGGGCAAGGTCTTCAGATAAACC